CACTTTGACTTTTAGCCAAGAAACTGGCTACATTTCTTTGGGGTCTTTTTACCCTAACTGCCTAGCCAGTTCCTACCTCTTATTCTTATCATGCCATCCTCTGAAGGGGTTACCCAAATTGCCAATAGGGACTAGGGACACAAACCACTCTGGCTTCTTCATGCTGAACAGGGACGCAGGGTGAGGCAATTGGAGTACCCCCTTCAGTGGGTCTATCTAAAGACTCCCTAATTGCATAACTCTTGTCTCTAAGGAGAAAAGAATGTCCTTGAATCATGAATAGGAGATGTGAAGGAGAAGTAAAGGCAAGAGTAATTAGCATTACAAGTTCTAGATGGGGAGCTAGAAAAAAGTCAGAACAGGGCAATTTTCAAATGTTCATGAGAGTCCATTGGAGTTTCTTGACAAGGGCTTCCAAAAGCATCCCTCTATTGGATTCCTCCTCATTTTTCTTTTGTCTTCCAAGGCTGGACTAGTTGGCTGGGAAGAGTGTCTGGATACTCAGGTAAGGGTCCAGTGACCCTGCTTCACACTCCTTTAATGCATGAGCACAACCGTCAACAAGCCCAATTGTGGCTATGTTTAGCAATCAGGCTCAGCCAAAGTCGTGATGATGGTAATTATTTCATGCAGAAGGGATTACTGTTAAAAGGAACTGGAATTTAAAAGGATTTAGTGCTAAGGAGCCACATATGAGGGAGAACATATGTCATTTGTTTTACTGAGTCTGTGTTACTTAGTATAACAATTTCTAGATCCATCCATTTACCTGCAAATTTCATTATTTCATCTTTCTTTAATGCTGAATAGAACTCCATTGTGTAAATATACCACATGTTTTTAACCACTCATCAATTGAGGAACACTTAGGTTGCTTCCATCTCTTAGCTATTGTGAAAAAAGCAGCAACAAACATGGTTGTACAAATGTCTCTACAATAGGATGAGTCCTTTGGGTATATGCAAAGGAGTGGTACAACCAGGTTACATTGTAGGTTCATTTTTAGTTTTTTATGAGTTCTCCACAGTGTTTTCCATAGAGGCTGCATGAGTTTGCAATCCCACCAGCAGTGAATGAGCGTTCCCCTTTCTCCACATCCTCACCAGCATTTGGTATCATTTGTTCTCTTGATCCTAGCCAGTCTCATTGGGGTAAGGTGCTACCTTAGGGTGGTTTTAATTTGCATTTCCCTAATTACTAACGATGTTGAATACTTTTTGAGATGTTTCTTAGCCATCTTTATTTCTTCCTTTGAGACAATATTTTTAAGGTAAAGCACACTCTCTCACAGAGTTTTCTCAATAAGAGCAAGTACACATTGGTAATCATTTAATTTAAATAATTTTATTTTAAGCTTTAATTAAATTCACCTATTAAGATATCAAGTGGACCAAATGCCCTATTTTGTTTAAATTCCACATAAACTTTGTGACATTTTTAACTGTAGCTTTAGAATCTCAATATAGAAGAGGCATAGGAACGGAAGCTGCTGGGAGGACTAGAACTCGTCCTAAAGTTGAATTGCAGAGAAAACCTGAGTTTAATTAGGATTTTATATTCATTGAGGGGATTCTGAAAACAGCAGGGGAAAGGTAGCCCATAACTCTTGCTTTTAACTCTTGCAACTGCTATGTTAAGCATTGCCTATTTAATCTAATTCACATTTTTTTCTTAAGAAAGTGACATTTAAACTGAGTGTGGTAGCTCATAATCCCAGCACTGGGGAAGGCTGAGGCAAAAAAGATTGCTAGGAGTTCAGGGCCAACCAGTGAGTTCTAGGCCAGCCTAAACTACAGAGTGAGTCTCTCTCTCTCTCTCTCTCTCTCTCTCTCTCTCTCTCTCTCTCTCTCTCTCTCTCTCTCTCTCTCTCTCTCTCCCTCCCCCCCCTCCCCCCACATGGACATATTTAGTATATGGAATGGTAGTGAAAATGAAAGTATTTAAGTATTATAAGTATGAAAACTAAAGAAATAAAAAAGAGAGAAAATAGATTTCGTTTCAAACAAGATAGCCCTGTATCCTAGTTTGTTTCTCCACTGCTGTGACAAAACGCTCTGACCAATACCAACTTGGAAAGGAAAGGGTTTATTTGGCTTACATCTCCCAGGTTGCAGTTCATCAGGGAGCCCAAGGCAGGAACTCAGGGCAGGAATATGTTGGCAAGAGCTGGAGCACAGGCCATGGACGAACACTGCTTACTGGCTTACTTCTCTGGCCTGTACTCAGCCTGCTTTCTTAGCAACACAGGACCTCCTGTGGGCTGGGCCCTCCCACATCACTCAACAATTAAGAAAGTGCCCCATGGACATGGCCACAGGCCAGCCCAATGAAGGTAATTCCCCAATTGAGGCTCTCTCAACCCAGGTATGTCAACTTGACACTAAAGCTACCCAGCACACCGTGGAAATAGACCTTGAAGTAAGGGCTTTAAACAGCATCAGCAGCTTATCCATCCTCTCTGTTCTCTTATGTTATCTCCACATGCAAACAGGAAGTGAAAATGAGATGAAAACTCAGATCAAAGAAGCAGTGACAGCTCCCCAACAAAGGATTAAAGGCATTTACTGTTCATTATTTGAATGTCCACCTTCTGCAGTTACTCTAGTAGGAGAAGCGGCTTCTGTGCCAGCTTGATTCACACCTAGTACTGCCAAACATCGTTAACAAGTGCCCAGATTTATTTGGCAGGTTCTTACGCAGTCCATACAAGGTCAAAACTAAACTAGTGCATTTTTTACCTAGGCAGAGAACTGACTGGTGCAGGGATTCTGAGCAGCCCCCACGATGCAGCCGTGAATGATGAGTAGTGCCAACTGCGGCAACTCTTCAGCCAAGATGAGTGTCAACGAAGTCTCTGCCTTCTCACTGACTCTGGAGCAAAAGACTGGCTTTGCTTTTGTGGGGATTTTGTGCATCTTCTTGGGACTTCTTATCATCAGATGCTTCAAAATTCTGTTAGACCCATATAGTAGCATGCCTTCTTCTACATGGGAAGATGAAGTCGAAGAGTTTGATAAAGGGACATTTGAGTATGCACTGGCCTAAGAGTTCCAGCTTTATGCTTTTGCCAGTTGCTGTTGGGTGGGATCTATGGTGGATACATGTGTAACTAGCCTGACTGTGATACATTTCCTATACTTTACTCAATAAACATCTGGGATTGATTTATCCATGGGTGTGTAAATGGCAGTCCTTTGTTGACATTGCACTTTCCTTTGTCCCCTCCTGAAGGTTTCTAAGCATAGAGCATAACCCTGGCCTAGCCACCTTTACTCTCTACTCCAATGTCTGCCATGACAGTCTGCTCCCCTTTCCTTGCCAATGAACTAGCTGGAGGCATCTGCAAAGCAAGCCCAGGAACCCTCTTAATAGTCCAGACTAGAGCCACAGTACAGCTTTAGTGAACTAGGACTCAAGGGGTTTTCAGACCAAAGAATAAATAATATGATTTCTTCAAAGGTGGTCATAGGTCAAAAGGTCCCCAGTGAAAATACTTCAGAAAACTAACATCCAAACCTTACAAGTTCCCACAGAGCTGAAGGTTCCCAGAATTCCTGACACTCATCTAGTTCTTATAGAGTGTCTTATGATGAAATCCTGTAGCTTGAAGTGTAAACCAGACCTGCTTTATACTGATAAACCCTCCACTATCTCTTGTATAAATAAATAGCTCTAAAAAGGAAGCTTCCAGTGGATCAATTGTATTAAAGCAGGAAGTCCGCTATGAGCTCTGTCATCACTGGAGCTGTGTAGTCAGCCAGTAGTCTAATCTCTTTAGACTTCTGGGGGCAGAGAAGGGATAACCAGGAGGCTCATTTTAACAGCATCAACCTGAAAATGCTACAAATGTACCTGACAAGCCAGAGAGCTAAGAAAGAGGGTTTAAAATATCACACACATTTTTCAGGTTAGGAGCCTGAATTCTAATGTTGGTCCACCAACAAAATAGCTTTATGACCTAGAAAATGGCCCAAGGTCAAGCAATGTCCACATCAGCAAAACAAGGATAAGAAACCTACCGTGTGTATCTGGCAAGAACACTGCAAAGAGCTCTGAGATATAATGAACGTAAAATACTTTGAAAACAACAGAACAATCTTTAAACATACTTTGCTCTCCACCTGTCCCCAACCTGTCCCCAACCTATCCCCAAGCCAGCACTGGAGATACAAGTGCCTCCGACATACCTGAGTTTCACATGGGTGCTGGGGATCTGAACTCAAGTCCCCCATGCTTGAGGGCCAGACAATTTGCCCACTGTACCATCTCCCCAGCCCCTACAATATTTTACCAAGATAGCACCCACTCAGGTCTATGGCACTCCAAAACAGCTGCCACAGAGAGATTCCGGGTAGTTCTTTTCTCTTAGTAGGTTTAGAAAACCCCTGTGTTAGCTCTTGTTCTTCCATACCAAACCCTCATCAAGGAGGCTCTTTGTATCTCAGTTGGCACAAGAATGTAGGCTGGGAATACCTCACAATTGTGGGAAATTTGACTTAAGAATAACTCACTAAGCCAAGCTCGGCTGAACTTTCTAGAAGCTGTCTGTGCCTAGTGCTGGGCATCTTCTTTGTGACAGCCTCTGAAGTGCCCCTTAGCTAAGATGCAAGTCCAAATTTTCGATTCTCCATTTGTCCCCCAGGCAAAACATCCACTGAGGCTTTCCATTGCAGTGGCTAGAGAGTTACAGCATCAGATCTTTCTTTCAAAACAAAAAAAGGCACCCCCAAACCAAAAAGCAACAAGTTTATAAAGAATGACACTGTTTCAGCACATGGGCTCCCACCACACTCTTCTCCCCAATCTCAATAAAAAGGAAGCATGCTGATGGAAAGGGACTTCATCTGTGACCGACTGTGTCCTTTTTATAATTTTATTTTAAGGGTAGAAGGATCATTACCTGTATTTTCAGAGCTAGAAGTGTTATAATAAATATAAAAGGCTGGTTATATTTGGGATATAACATAGAAATTTTGTTGTTTTTTGTTTTGTTTTTTTTTCATTTCCTTTTTTTTTTATGACAGGGTCTCCCTAGTCCCAGTCTGCTTGGAAGTCACTATATGGGCCAGACTGGCCTCGATCTCACAAACAGATCCACTTGCCTCTGCCTCCCAAGGGCTAGATCTAAAGGTGTGTACCACCACACCCAGCATATGACGCGGAAATTTCAAGAAATTATAATGCTTCTGTGATCATACATAGATCAGACCCTGCTGCCACTTCCTGTCAGGATGAACAGGAAGAAGGTGGGAGCTGTTCCTAAAGAGAGATTGCTCTGTTCCCTGACCCACCTGCCCAAAAGGCCTAAATCAGGCTCAGTTTTCAAAGCTGACTTTATGAATGGTGTAATTTCATCCACAGCCCCCAAACTATCTCCCATCCATACTCAAGAGAGAAGGTTTGAGTCCCTTTAAAAAGAACAAAGACTTTCATTTCCCAGTTAGAGATAAACACCTTCGAATGAAAATGTCTGCTTGATATAAGACCAAGACTGTAAGTAATTCATACTACACTGGAGTCAGGCAGGCAGCAAGAAAAAGCAAGTGATGGATTACAGAGGCACGCACAGCCTTTGGTAGAGAAAAAAGGCTAAAGAATGGACAAGGTGTTCCCAAAGGTGAGGGTTACAATGAACAGGTTTCTTTTGGGTCTTAGCTTCATCTCAGCTCTCTCTAATCTTGACCTATTACATAAGGAACCCCAGCACCTCCTAGCTGAATCTGAAATCTGACTGCTTCCTATATTTAACATCTTTTCTTCTATGAGAGTCAGAAACCTATTTTGTTTTTGTTTTTTGAGACATGGTCTCACTATGAAGCCCTAGCTAACCTGGAACATCCCAGGCTGGTCTTGATTTCACTAGTGATCCACCTGCCTCTGCCTCCCAAGTTGCTGGGATTAAAGGCATGCGCCACTATGCCTGACCTGGAACCTGCTTTTGAAGAAATAAATACCTTCTATTAAGGGCCCTTATGAGAAGACTAAGGGCCGATGAGACAGCTCTGAGGTGAAAGCACTTGCTACCAAGCCTGACTCTCAATATTTTGATCCGTGGGACCCACATAGTTGAAGGAGGGAATCAACTCCTGATTCTGACCTTCACACATGCATCATGACATGACTTATCCTCCTGTCCCCCACACATACAAATAAATACATGTGAAAAAGAAACAGAAGATTGAGTTACAGGTATCTCCTTGTAATTCTATTTCTGATAGATCCTGGTAACATCGCCTGGTAACTGAGTAGCATGGCATTAACTGACTAAGAACATCCAAGGGGCTTTCTGTAGGCATTTCCAAATGGCTTTCTGTAATCCTGTGTCTGCTTACCAGTTTGCCTTGCTCTTTATTTGAATGGGTATAATACCTATCCCTATCTTTAATGATTGATCTCAGAATCATGAGCATGAGTAATAAAAATTCACAAACTGGTTATAAATATTACTAAAATATCACAAGCAAAGACTTCAAACTGGTACTGTTCTAAACACAAATTAGCTGGTTTAATCCTCACACTAATCCAGCAAACTAGATGTTATTGCATCTACATTTGCAGATAAGAACATTAAAGCACACAGAGTTGGTGAGTAGCCAGAGTTCTTTCAACAGGAAGTGGCAAGAGCAGAACTGAAATTGAGCGTTCTCACTCCAGAGCTCAGGCTTAACACTACATCACACCACTGTGGCTACCCAGGCAACTGGAAATCACTCGGATAGTTTCTTATTAGACACAACGAGGACTCATTCAATCATTCTGATTGAAAACCAGTGACACAACCTGCAGGGAGGAATTGCCTGTGCTATCTTAATAATCACCAGCTCAGGGACTAGAGCAAAACCTTTTCCTCAGCAAAACTCAAAAACTAGATTTGATAAAAATGTTCTTCTACATGGAGACAAAAAGGCTATTTAGTAGTTCCACTTGGAAATGTACCCACAGTTTGACTCCAGCTTGAAACAGTTTTTTCCTACTAGTCTTTTCAGTAAGTCATTGATTCTACTTTCTGTTCATTTTCTATGCAGAGAAGTCAAGGTAATATTTATCCTAAGATTAAAATGATTTCAACTACCATTTTCTAGCTACACAATACTGAGGTTATCTCTTGTCCACAGTATTTTGGTCCCTCTGCTAAACAATTGGAGGTCACTAAGTCTCATCAAAAATGAGATGATCAGCCAGGTGGTGCAGTCCTAATTCCAGCTACTTGTGGTGGGGGGTCCAGGCAGGAGGATAACAAGCGCAAGACTGCCTCAACTACAGAGCCAGCTCAAGGACAGGCTGGACAATTGAGCAAGATTCTGTCTTGTAATAAAAAGTTTTTTAAATGGAGTTGGAGGAAGCTGGGAACATAACACAGTGGTAGAATATTTACCTAGCATGTGTGAGGTCCTGGGTTCAATCCTTGGAAGGAAGGAAGGAAGGAAGGAAGGAAGGAAGGAAGGAAGGAAGGAAGGAAGGAAGGAAGGAAGGAAGAGAGGGAGGGAGAGAAACCACAGGATTCAATTTCTCTAGTCCCAAACAACTGAAGAAATATTTTTGAAGAATTGCTGTTGAGCAATCTAGTCTACTTATGAATTAAAGCAACTTTATTTTGTTTACTGTCTAAAAGGATTAATGATTTACTACTAGTTACTAGTTGATGTGGTACTTAAGGTTCCTCGGGGCTAATGACTGGGCGGGCTTCTAGTTCTATTCCAGCCCAATGACTGAAAATTCATCTCTTTCAAGAAAGATTTTAACCAATAGGAAGAAACCTAAGGTTGTGGGCTGAAAGCTAAGGCCCCATATATGCTCATGTGATGCTAAAATAGGTTATACTTCCTCAGAAGGCTCCTGGATTGTGAGGTAAGCAGGTCTGGGCTGGGTAAAAACCTTACTTAAAAGCATGTCACAAAAGAAATGAGAGGAATGGATTAAAGGATGACAGGGTCTGAGAGAAGTAAGATGCTCGAAAAATCTAAACTAGCTCCTCTTGTAATTTCACCAGCAGTGGTTATTTAAGAGTTCAATTTTTGTCAATTCAAAGAAATGCCTTTAATAACTACATGAGAGTCAAATTGTTGTTGGTATGGGTCTTATCTTTCTAACTTTCTTCAAGATAAGAAATTTTAAGTTCTCTAGCAATATTATTCCATAGAAAGTATTTCAAGATTGACACATACTGTAGAATTGTAAAAATTATCTTATAGCCTGTTCAATTCAACAAATATTTCACTAAAGAAGCCAATAGAACATAAACCTTTACTGGGGACTATGATGTATTTTCATATCCCAACATTCTTTTTTTTTAGATTTTCATAATAGCATTTATGAAAAAACCCACAAATATACGAGCAAATGAAAAGCTTCAGAGGCTACTAAAAATTCTAAGAATTTCCAGAAATCTTGGCAGGACTACATTTTTAAAATCCTCACATTCCAAAATGTAATTCTTTACTTGTTGCTTAGGTTAAAACAATTTCTGGAATGAATTTATTACTTGACAGTGTGTAGATTTCTCTAACTTGCAGAATGCACTTTTCGAAGTTTTCAGTTTAAATTTTTATGCATCATAGAGTATATAATCCTATCAAGATGAAATTTCAGTAATTAGACTGTCAGCAAACTCTGTTCAGGCGAAGAATGTTCTCTTCTGGTCTATTCCTGTTGTCCTCAATCAGCAAGTAATCCCTGATCTGAAAGTCCTACTGACTTCAGGGAAAATATTACAAACAGGGTCACATTTTAATGACTCTGTTGGAATTTCTGTTTGCAGAAGCAAGTCCCTAGTTATTGATTAGAGGTTCACTGTTCAGGTGACTAAGATTCCTAGGCAAGTCATTTTTACTGAAATGAGTTTAAAATTGTATGTCGTATAAAAGAAAACTGTAATTTCATACCCCAGCCCCACTTAGATATGCTTGCATTGCCTGGAACAAATTTAATTTTCTTTCTCAGTGACAGCTTTGAAGAACATTCTGAAGATTACACATAGGAGACAATGTACCAACAATACATCAGGAATCTAATCATTGAACTCATCTAGAACAAAAGCTCCCTAGTATAACCACATTAGAGTTCGTTTTGAAGCAGAAATAAATAGATTTTGTTTTAAACAGCCAGAATATAGATAGTTTAGTCCGAAAAGTGCATTTTGGAAGATGTCACTAAACACTCCTTCCAGCTCAGTGCCCAGTAACACCAGCCGTTTCCAAGTTCATGTCATAAACGAGGGCCATGACAGCTGTGCAGCTGTGAGTGACAGCTCCGACCCCCCACATTATGAAGAGACCTCTTTTGGGGAAGAAGCCCAAAACAGACTGAGAATCAGTTTTAGGCCTGGGAATCAGGAATGCTATGACAATTTCCTCCAAAATGGAGAAACTGCTAGAACAGATGCCACTTTCCATGCCTATGACTCCCACACAAACACATATTACCTGCAAACCTTTGGCCACAACACCGTGGATGCCGTTCCCAAGATTGAGTACTACCGCAACACGGGCAGCGTGAGTGGGCCCAAGGTCAACCGGCCCAGCCTGCTGGAGATCCATGAACAGCTCGCCAAGGTAAGCCTGAAGGGCACAGCCAGTGTCCTTCCTCCCCCTCCTCTAGGCCATTTCTTCGGGGTTAATAAGACTGAGCGTGCACTGGTAGGCTGAAAAGCGCCATTCCAAATCATCCCGCTTACTTACACAGCTGTTTCTAGTTCCCAAGAAACAGAAAATCTACAAGCGCTTCACAAATGTTTTCTGACTTGGGAGAGGACTCCAGAGTCAACTCTGAAAGTTAAGCAATATAGCATATCTTGTTTGCAATTATAGTTGCTCGAATCACGCCGTGGCTGAACATGTCAAACTGAATACTAAGCTGTTTCCACCACAGTAAAGCTCCACAGCAGGTCTAAAACAATCACTGTGCTTTTGTGTGGGTGCCAGCCTTGGGTCCAGTGGTGATCTTGATCCTCGGCTACTAAGGAAACCGAGGTATGGCTGAGATTTTTATTAAAAGAAAAAACAGAAATATGTAAGAGTCGGCATTGCTGTCCCCCCTTCATAACTCTGTCTGAGGCTCCTGTGTGTACCTGCACATGAAGTAACTGAACTTAAATAGAGAAGCAGAAGACGTGGCCAAATTTGACATTTAAGGAATGCATGAGGGCTACCGAGTCTGCTGGAATGCGGTGGCGCCTTCTAATCTTACAGCCATCATTTAGCAGCTTAGTAGATAGCTTCTATAGCTTGCTCTGAGATACGTTGACAGACTTCATCCCCTTGCTCTTCTGTGACAGTATGCAATGCATATCACTCTTTTTTTACATGTACGTGTATGTGTATGGTATGCATGTATGTATGTCTGCATGTGTTTGTGTACCTTTGTGTACAGGTGTGTGTGGAAGCTGGAGGTTGATGTCAAGTGTCTTCCTAAATCATTCTCCACCTTATATACTGAAGCAGGATCTCTCACTTGAACCCAGAGCTTGACAATTCAGCTAGTTTGGCTAGCCAGCTTGTTCTGAGGACCTGTCTCCACTTCCTCAGTGCCGAGATTACAGTTGGGCCTACACACCAGCCTGGTTTACATGGGTGCAGGGAATTCAAATCTCACACTTCTCAGCAAGTGCCTTGACCGCTGAGTCATCTCCCAGCCCTGAATATCTGTCAGTGGAATATAGTGACTATCTCATAAGAGAATGTGATATCACATATTTAAATGTGGTTCACTCTTGGCTAAGTTTTCGGGCAAACAAAGAATAGTACAGTTTATTTTCTATTCATTCATACATTTATTCGTTCAGTTTTCAGGATTAACTAATTGCCCACCCCCATGCTGGAGATCTAAGGGCACTGTCTCGGGACAGCTTTTAGTACAGGCTGTCTTCAGTGTCCGCTCACCTTTCTTTCCAGAGAATGCACATCTCCAAAACTGTCTCCCCACATGCCTTGGCCCAACTCTGGGTTCTAGACCTTCCTGAGGAAGACCTTGTGCTCTCATCACTGTTTTCATACTCCTTTATCCCACAAAATTCATCCTCCTGTGGGCCATATAGGCAGCACTCAGATAAATGACTGGTTTCTTCATAGACATGAGATTTAGACCTTATCTAGTGCTTTAATAATAATGAAAAATAGCATCATGGCCATTCAAAGTGACAGTCTCTATGAAGAGTACCAGGGGAGAGAAGAGGAAAGAACAGTGGGTTGATAGGAAGAGCACAGAGTTTCCAAACTGTGGAAGGGGCAGAAAGAGAATTTAAACATTATAAGGAGATTCTGATTTATTTGAAGAAGTAAAATGAACCAAAATCTTCCAGAAAAGACCCAAAATTCTATCCCACCATATTCTACACATGATTTTTAAAGCTGCCTCCTTCATTAAAAAATTCATATAAAAATTTAAATATTTTCGTTCCTCAATTTACAGCAAAC